CTCTCAAACAATTTATGCTATGGATTATGTAATGTAAACAATGTACTAGATGTGAACAATGACGGTTGAAATGTAGTAATGCATGGGGATGTTTATGTTATGTTTCATGTATATTCATTGTGATGATACTTCAATTTAAGTCACACGAGCCCTCGGACGTTTTCGTCGTCTGGTTCGGGGGTGTGACATTGTACGCTTAGCGTACTCCTTCTGGGGCTAGTTAGCTAAGCGTACAAGCTGGGTACGCCCAGCGTACTCCCTAGTGTGTCATCCTACTCCATTAAGCACTTAATTGATTAAGGTGGTGTTTGTTTTTTCTCAAAAACCACTTCTGACCACTTATTATTGCGCCGCGCAGCACACGCGCAACACTTGGCCCTTCGTAGTTGTTCATTTTTCAGAAGACTTCTGACTTAAAAACTGATGTGCGTGTGCTGCGTGGCGCAGCACTGGACCCTCTGCTTCAAACCTCTTCACCCCTTACTTTAACTTATTGCAGCAGTCTGCATAGGTTAAAAAACAAACAGACTTTTTATTACATGTTGCAGCCGTTTGGTCCCCCCTCTTCTGCTACAGAGGGTTGTAGAGGTGGTCCGCAGACTTCAAGTATTTTCGCTTCAAAAAAACAAGCAGCACGTAAGTCTTTTCTCCAAACTCACAGATCTAATCCCTAAAGGTGACTTATTATGTAAAGTTGGCAAGTTTACATACATGCATGGCTTAATGGGGCTTAAGAGCTCAGAAAAGAGCTTAACAGAGGTCTTAACACATGCATGGGTCCAAATACTCCATAAAGTCGATATTTTATGAACTTAGAGACTGAATGAAGCTAAGATCTAGCATCCATTGCCTCTGGAGTAGATCAAAAGCTCTCCTTTAATAAAAGGGATTCAAAAAGTGCACAAAATGCTCCATGAACTAGATCTAACATAAAGGAACATAAAGGTGTAAGCTTTTTACCTCAAAAAGCTTGCAAATGTGGAAGTGATCCTGGATCCAAAAGCTCAATCAACTCCTTCAAGGGTTTCTCTTCTTCTTCTTCACCTTAAGACACCAAAATCTCTTTATCAAGCTCAAAACTCACCAAATCACTCTAGGGTTTCGTTTCTGGGACAAGGAGAGGTGGAGGTTGGCTAAACATGACCAAATGAGGCTATGATGAGGTTTAAATAGGGTGCAAACCCTAAAAAATAGGGTTTGTCTCAGACTCACGTACGCCATGCGTACTCCACGTACGCCTCGCGTATGTGGTTAAGTCCCGCAACCAGATTATGGCTAGTACGCTTAGCGTACCCAATGAGTACACCCCGCGTACTAACTAAGGGACCAATTTTGAAAGAAAATTACAATAGGGGCTTAAAGGAAACTTACCAAATTCATGAGTGTTACATTATGGTCCTTAACTTTTAAATTTCTCACTGTTGATGACATTCAACCTTTGTAAGTCTTAACAAGTTATAATTTCAATATGAATTCCAAAAATCAGCTTATTGCCATTTTGATAGCAAGATTTGTCAAAGTATTGGCCAAACCCAAATTTCATAGAATTTACAATTTTAAACCCTCTAGCTTACACTTTTCCATTTATTAACATTTACAACTTAGAAAGTCTACCTTATAAGCTTCTCATTTTTTTTAAAAGTTGAAGTCCTCATCAGAAGGTCTTCCTAGTTAGATCCAAATCATACACAAACTTTCCAAATTTGGCACAAATAGTTCCTCCATACTAAAATTTATGTTTGACCTTATTAAGCCTGGTCACAACTTTGAAGTTTTAATTTTACTAATTTTAATTATTTCTATACTTGATTTAATATTTATTTTTATTATTTTTATTGGATTTTAAGTTTTCGAATGTTTGTAAAAGTTGTTAACCTATGTAACGTTATTTTATCTATAAAAAAATGAAATATATTGAGAAACTAGTTTATAACCCGTGACAACCACGGTTATAAAATTAATTAAACTTTCATATTAAAAAATCAAAATTATTAATCAATTATTTTAAATAAATTATTACTTAAGAGGTATTTAGTTATATAAAATTATAATCGCTTATTTAAATAAATATGTGAAGTTACATCACCTTATAATTTGTATTAGTTTTATTTTATTTTTTCAATCTAATATTATCTTCCTATTCTAATAAATGAATAAGTTTCTTCTCATATTGACAAGTGTCATACTATTAGAACTCCTCATTAGTAATATATATGACATATCATGCCACTTATCAACGTATTAATTATCATTTTCAAATTTCAAATTTTAAATTCTCCACTATTTTCGTTTCCATCAATACCTAATAAGGCATATAAATCATATATCCTTCTGTAATGAATTCCAACGCCCCACAATGTAGAATCCTCTCAGTAGCAGCATTCCAGAACTCAAACCACATCGGATAATCAATATGAAGAGAAACTGCTATAAAAAATAATAATTGTCACCATCTTATACAAATATTAGAGATTATTGAGGTGTCAGATGGTGTAATAACTTGCAATTAAATATAATTTTCAAAGAAAACTTAGTATGAGAAACTAACCAAGGTGATCAAGGGCCAAATGAGGCATTATAACTAAAACATAAACAAAGAAATATTAGTGATGAAACATGAAACTTTAAGGAGAAACATACAAATTTAAACCATGAAGGATAACAAAAATCCACAAGTATATTTTTAAAGTAATTTTAACCAATATATTTTTAAAGTAATTTAAACTGGGTCGTAGGTTTATCCCAATATTGTTCCCATAAGCATTTCATCGAACAGGTAGTAGACATGTAGACCAAACAAAATTTCCATGTATCCAAATCAAGGTCTTAAATCCTAACACATCCAAACAAAAAAAAACTAGATTTGTGATTTTAACAACCAAAAGCAAAGGATATGGCATACCTTTGTGTATGAGTATATCGTTTATAATTGGATTGCTCAACTTATTGAACAATTCATCAAAAGTATGAGGAAAATGGGGAATCTCATAGAAAGGTCCGATTCATATTTCTAAATAACACAACTGCGATAATTAATTTTCAACAAAATTTGACACCCTCATAACATAAATATCAAAATATATTTTACTTACATTCACAAGAACCTAGATGATTTCAGCCATTTCTGTGGTTCGTCAACTCCAATTTCGACCTACAATAAATCCAAAAAAATCAAGCAACTTGAGTAACAATCATTTTCATGTTGTCGCAACTTTAGCACAAATATCGATAAAAAGTACAAATATCAGTTATCAAGAAATAAGCATATATGAGATCACTAAGAAGTTGTCAAGTGGAATTTGAGTTACTTGTTTTCTTACATTTCCCTGATGTGATTATAATTTCAGTCGTTTGACTACAAATCTAAATCGTTAAGTAAAAATCAAAACAACCTGTTTTCCCCCATTTTCTTCTCCACTACAAAACTTAGGTTAGATATATTATATAAAGAAATGAAGGAGGCGGGGTTGACAAAAATTCCTAATTTAATTCATTTCATTTTATTTTTGGTGAGATTTAATTGTCATTAATAGAATTCCTAATTTAATTCATTTTATTTTTGGTGAGATTTAAGTATCATTAATAGAATGCTAATTTAAAACGTAATATACATTTTATAAAATTTGTAGACAAAAATAAAAGGGTTGACAAAGATGATGTCAGCAAATAATCCAAAAGTGGAAAATATAGGATTGAAATACAATCAATGGTCCTGATTTCTTTAGTTTAGAATTAAGAGTTCTCTTTTAATAATATTTAGAGATTAGAGATGATATTTTATTTTTGGAAACCATTTGTTAAATATTTTTATTTTATTATAGCTTTTTACTTAATGTACATTTTAGATTATCCGCGTATACAGACACAACCATGGACTCTATATGACGATTAATTAATGCCGATGTCATTAGATGTAAAACTTGGCGTATTCAAAATATTGTTAAACTTTTGTAAATATCATGGCCATTGGGATGGGTCGGTTGATTTATGATTTTTTTTTTAAGATTACACGGAATCATACCATCGGAATTATGTGATACCTAGGTTGATGGTGACATGTTTGTCATTTTTACTAGTTTTAAAAATGGTTAGGGTTTGGTGTTTGTGTTTAACGTTGGCAAAAGAAAAAAAAATGAAAGAATGTCAATTTGATCGGTAATTAAAAGAAGAGAGAGAAAACGGTGCAATCTCACCGATGGCAAAAAAAAATGTATCACGGGCTGGTGTTCACCAGTGGTAAAACATGCCACGTCGGTTTGTCGATGGCAAAAAAACATGTTACTGTTTAGTCTAATATGACAATTAATCTAAAAATAGCTTGAAAAAAACATGAAACTTTGTTTTTGTTTTATAAAACGAAATACCTATTGTCTGAATTGAACGGCTGAAATATGGAAAGTGATTCGTACATAATAATTTGTTTTCGTACATAACAATTTATGTTTTATAGAATTCTACAATATAACATTTTAAAGCAATCTTTTGTGTATTGAAAAGAAAAATTGTTATGTGCAAATCATCTCCTAAAATACATCTTGGAGCAGATCAAGTAGAATTCAAAGGATTTAATGAAAGATTTATAAAACTTTAAAAAAATAATAATAATAATAAAACAAAATTGTGAGATATTAATAGGGACCATTGTTAAAGAAAGAGTCATTCTATATTATTTTCTCATAAAAGTAAAATAGATGGCGATTTGTTATCGAGATAGCTCCTATCTAGATATTTTTGTGATCATATCCTCTCTCTTTTCTGTCCATTAAAATTTCTATAGAATTTTTCCCTTATTTTTCTACGCCAATTAATATCATTACTCCAGGCAAAACATGTGTTTTCTTTTATATAATATGTTATTCAAAAACTTTCACCTATCGCTCGTATTCATTTTCATCTTCTTAATTTATCTCTTTGCTTATCCAGCGAGCATATGTAGCTACCCCTAAGGTTAAGATTCTAAACGACTCATTGCTATAAAGTTTCAAGGCGAATAGCCACTCAAAACAAGAGGACAGATGAAAATATACGTGAAAAGTGAGAATTTTATTATTTTTTTGGTGATTTTGATGGAGTTTTATGGAAAAAACGAGGGTGCAACAGTGACATGCGAACCTAAATACGAGTTCTTACCATGCACAAGCGAACCATGGGGAACGCTTTTCCTAATTGTGGTTTATCAATACTTGGTGGCTCTTGGTCAGAAGTACATTTCTGATGGATCGAATAAGTTCTTCAGTCTTATCGGGCCGGGTATATTTGGCGCAAGTTTGTTTCATATTCTAGCGAACTTCCCTACACTTTTCCTCGTCTTGCGTAAGCTTCGTTTTCTACCTTTTTGTATTCTTTAATCTTTTTTCTTGCAAAAGTTTTTGTTGTTGTACCTAATATTGTTAGTATTTAATTTGTAGGTAAAGTTATAATTTCTGGCTATTTAAGGTCCTTGAACTTGTTAATTTTTGTTAAAATGGTCATTATAACCTCAACATCTTTCCATAATTTCTGGCTATTTAAGGTCCTTGAACTTCGTTTTTTAAACAGAGTGGCTATATTTGCGAAAGATGAGGGTTGAGAAGCTTGTTGTACCTTTTGTTAACTCTTTCTTTTTTCTCCTATCAACTTGTATTATATGCATCAAAACGAATACCAAAAAGTACACGTTTGGAGGGTTCTATTTCTGAGGATCCGAAGGTTGGAAGTATAGAAGAGAGAAATGTTGTTTTAGGTCAAAATAACCACTTTGGCAAATTAATCTAGACGAATCTTAATATATTTGATAATCGATTTGCAGAGTCTGGATTATCAAACAACACTGGTGGTTCTTCTACAGCTAGTTCCGGAATGGACATGTTAACAGGATCCGCGGTCATGAGTCTAACAATAATTTGGCCATCAGTCATAACTTTCGGAAGCTATGATCTTGCTGATGATGATGACGTGGTTACAGAGCAAGAGCCATCATTCTTAACTAAAGTAACAGGTACTCTATCTTCACATACAATCAACATATGTGCAATCAATCATTCAAGCATAGGCTCTTTTATATGTTAAGATATCAACTTTTTTTAGTTTCTTATGTCTTCTTTTTTGCTATTTTTAGCATATGGTGTTACAACTGATAAAGCAACAACATATACCGCAAGAATCATGCTCGTGTCACTTATCCCTTTTATCATTCTCCAACTCCCAGCAATCATCAGTTCGATATCAATAACTCGAGTGATAATTTTAGTCACTCTCATCGTTGTGTCGTCTATGTACATTACTTACATTATGTATCAGGTTAGGCTTTAATATTTTAAACGATAAAAGCTCAAAATCTTTTCATTTCTATATATGAAATGAGTTGTGTTCTTACATCATAATAAAATGTAGTATTCACATGTAGATCTTCCAACCTTGGATTCAAAACAGGAGATTTGAATATGTGACAAAAAAATTTGTCAAGGACAAATTACAGACGCTACTCTCCATAAATGGGAAGCCACATGTGCGACTTATAAGAGAGTTGGTATCCGTCTAAAAAAATCTCGTTTTTTAGAACTATAAAGAAAGCTTTATGACTGAGAAACTATTGTTGTGCAGGATTTTTAAGGGACTTGATGAAGATCACGATGGTAAAGTGTCCAATGCTGAATTGAAAACTTTCCTACTAGGAATACAATTGCAAGCAGACAGTGCAACAAACGATGATTTTGTAAAAAATATCATGGATCAATTCGACATCTCAGGCAATCAATCTATTGAAGAGAATGAGTTCGTAATAATTCTAACGAAATGGCTCCAGGAAGCAAAAAAACCACTCTCTCAAAACGATTATAACCCTCTTACCTTCTTGTTCAAACGTAATCAGGTAACTTTCTATTTAGGAAACTTCAAGAATCTTTTGTTTTGTTTTTTGACATATATTAATGTTGCAACCTGCAAGTGTTTTTTAATTAAAAAGAATTGTCATAACATATTGACCGGTTGCATTAATAATTAAGAACTACTTTTGAATGCAACTTGCCTATTTATTATCTTACTATATCAAGTAAATTAAATAACCTTTTTATTTGTTTATATAGGAGGCAGATAAAGAACAACGAAAGGCTTTGATACCTAAGAAAATCCGTAATGCTCAAAGTTCGATATTGGAGTTCTTGGGAGCTTTGAGCCTAATATTCTGTGGGATCACTATGACTGTTCTCGTTTCATCATCATTTATAACGAATGTTGTGGCTTTTGCCAGTTATGCAAATGTCCCTTCCTTCCTCATCCCATACTTTATAATACCATGTGCCACAAACATATCACGTCTCTTATCAACCATAAGCTCTGCAACACAAAAGACGGAACGAGCCACGTCTTTAACATTTTCTAGGGTATTGGTTCCTTCTAAAACCAAGTTCTCTAGTTTTTTTTTTATGAAGGAAATGGGAGGGATAAAAGCTATAGCCTATAGGGGAAGGGGAGAGGGAATGGAAGGAATTGAAAGGGAAATAAAACTATAAAAGTAATTAATTGTGTTCTTTGTTGGAGGAAAATAGACCTTCTTAAGTTAGAAGAAAATTGTAGGAAATCAACATTTTTACATTTATACCCTTAATTGGTGATAAATGAGGCTTGTTGTAGGCGCAAAAAGATAATTTGTGCATCATATTCCTTTCTCGTCCCTTCCTAATCCACCCAAAAATTGACTAATGGTTTTCTAGCCTATTTGTCTTTTCCTTCCCTTTCATTTCTTACAAAAATCTCAAAAACACATTTTCACTTACCTTTGATTAAAATAAGGGAAAATAATAAAAATGTCCTACAAAGTTTTTAGGGTTGGTCGATTCAATCCCTAAAGTTATTTTCTGGATTTATGGAGAATATTAGGTAGGTTACGACTTGCTCTTTTAGTCCTTTTCAACCTTTAATAGCCGATACATCATACAACAGTGACCATTTAGGTTAAAAAAACACACACACATTATGCCCCTATAAAGCTAAAAAAAAATAAGTTTAGGGATCATTTAAACCCAAACTTTCGAAATCGACTTCAATTGACGTTTTCATCCTCAATGAGAAAACCAACTCACCTGAAAGGAAGCAATACTCACCGAGAGGAAGCAGTTCTCACCGGTGAGTTGGTTTTACCATCAAGGACGAAAGTGTCGATTAAAGTCAGTTTCATGAGTTATGGTTTAAATGATCACCAAATTTATTTATTTATTTATTTATTTATTTTTTGGCTTTATAGGGGCATAAAGTGGGTTTTTTGGTCTAAATGGTGTACTGGCTATTAAAGGTTGAAGGGGACTAAAAGAGTTGGTTTTAACATACCTTATACCCTCACAAAGCCAGAAAATAACTTTAGAGATTGAATTGACCAACCATAGAAACTTTGTAATGTATTTATGTCATTTCCCCCATTAAAATAAAGTCGAGGACATGTCGTTAGTGTTTGTGGGTAACAAAATCCATGTCCCACGACTTAGTTTGTATTGTTTTGCACCATATATATGTGTAAAGATGAAAAGGGATTATGGTTTAATTTTTTTTCTTTTTTTGCAGATCTATTCAGGAGTCGCCATGAGTAGTATGAGTACTTTGACGGTATTTCTATTACTTGTGTACATAAGAGATCTACCATGGGACGTATCCCCTCAAGTTTTTGTTGTCTTGGTAATTGGTGGAGGGATGGCAATTTTGACAAGTACTAGGACAGTTTATCCACTTTGGATGGGTTATGTGGTTTATCTCATGTACCCTATTTCACTACTAATGTTGTATTTGCTTACCGTTACAAGGGCATAATTATAGGCTAGATTAAGTCTACATGCACTACTATGCGACTTGTTTTAATTATATGTGTCAATGTATTTTAGGTTCTTTCTAGTAATATATTACATTTTTTTTTGTGTGTCATAAATCTGGTTATGTATCATGTAATAAGGTATTACTACTTCTCTTTAGTATGAGAGTTGATTTGTACACAACAAGTCTTCATATGCAATAATATGTGCTTTAAAATATTGTATTGTACAACTCTATAAAGCATAAACTATTGTGTAGGTTTCGGCGAAGAAAGGAAAGAAAAAATTGCTTATCTTCAAAGTAGATTTTGACAAGGCCTTTGATAGCCTAAGTTGGTCGTTCTTGATGAATATGATGTGGTTGATGGGTTTTTGTGAAAAACAGATTTCTTGGATCAATGCTTGCATAACTTGATCCAAGGTCTCTATCCTAGTTAATGGTAATGCTACAAAAGAGTTTTCGTCTTGAGAGGGGTGTTCGTCAAGGAGACTCTCTCGCATCCTTACTTTTCATTATTGCAACCGAAGGCCTTGGGAGGCAATAGCGGAATCTATTGACAAAAAAATTTACAAAGGTGTTGATCTTCCTAACAACGGTCTGGAACTTTCTATATTCCAATATGCAAATGATGCTATATTCATTGGGGGTTGGTCTAAAGAGAATTCGCTAAATCTCAGGAGAGTGCTTAGATGCTTCTTTCTTGCTTCTGGTCTCAAAGACAACCTTGCCAAGAGCAAGGTGTTTGGTGTTGGAGTGGGTGTCAACGAAATTGCATATATGGCACATTGGTTAAATTGTAGTCGATGATCCTTCCCGTTCAGTTATCTTGGCATCCCAGTGGGGGCTAGGACGACCAAGATGAATAATTGGACACCTCTTATTGAGAAATTTCAAAATAGGTTGTCAAGTAGGAAAGCTAGGAATCTCTCGTATGGTGGCAGACTTACTTTGTGCAAAGTTGTCCTTGGTAGCCTCAGGACCTATTTATTCTCTCATTATAAAGCTCCCAAGACCATTATCAAGAGACTCGAGAGTATATGTAACTTCTTCTTTTATGGTGGTGGTGTGGGGGGAATAAATTCACATGGATAGATTGGAAAAAGACCTTAAACAACAAGAAAAATGGAGGCCTAAGCATTGGAAGTCTTCGTGCTTTAAACTTTACTTTACATGGTAAATGGTGGTGCAAGTTTACAAATGAGAACGAGTCTCCATGGAAGGATTTTGTGCAATCGCTTCATAGGACAGATGGTGGTATTGGTCGTACTAGATTGATCTATTATCAGGGAAGCACTTGGGGTAAAATTACTCATATTCATATGGAGCTCGAAAAGTCTAATGTTGATCTTAACTCCCTTTTCACATGTCAAAATAATACTTGGATCTGGAATGCAACTGAAGAGAGGTGTTATAGTGTCTCTTCCTTACGAAAGATATTTGACGATAAGTTTTTACTCATTAACCCACAAGAGACTGTTTGGAATAGTATTGCTCCAGGAAAAGTGAATATCCTTATTTGGAGAACAAGACTAGAAAGACTTCCCACCCCAGATAAATCTTCAAAAATTTGGAGTAAACATCAATTCAGTTCTCTGCCCTTTTTGTCATACTAGCCCTGAAACGGAAGACCATTTGTTTATTGGATGTTCCACGACCAAAGAAGTTAGATCATTGCTTAACTAGTAGTAGAGTGACCTTCCAAATTACTTAGACTCGATACAACAAATGGTTAACTACAATGATGATTTTGGTATCAGTTTTAAGATTAAAACAGGAGTTCAAGTGGTTCTTTTCGCCTTGGTATGGATTGTTTGGAAGCAAAGGAATGAGAGTGTCTTCAACAACAATTACAGAAGTAGTAAAGACCTTCTTAGTGACATTAAGATTCTGGTGTTCAATTGGTTTAAAATTAGAGCAAAGAGAGGTTCATGTATAGATTGGGACATATGGTGTTGTAGTCCAAAGTTTGAATGTTGTAACGCTCTATATATAAAAAAAATCAGAAAAAAATATTGTGTAGGAGAAGAAGTTATTGTATATGAATCACTTCTTAGGTTATACAGTATGTATCACCCGTTAAAGACCGGCCACACACTATATTTCCAATTTTGTTACAATGTCAACCAAATGACCGGTTTGTCACACCCCCAAACCGGAACGGCGGAAACGTTCGGAGGCGGAGGACGTCATGCTCAGTATCATAACCATA